GAAACAAGCATAAGAAAGTGAAATCTTGCCTCGGCGGTGGTGAAGCAAAGAACCAACATGATTCCGGCTGTGAAATCTTCAAAAGACTCAGATTGGCCACAGCACTGGCCACCTCTGGAAGTGAGGGAAAAAGAGGGTAAAATAGAATGTTTAAAGTTGAAAGACTATTCAAAAGCAGCTGAAACCCTGGATCCTGTCCCTGATACCAGCAGAGATTTTTGTCTCTGAAAAGGTAATGCAGAGGGTCTCTGGGCAGGAAAGCATCTGGCTCCTTTGGGGAGGGGGGTTTTGTACAGAAAATAGGAAGAATGAGTGAAACACATATTGAATGCTGAGTTCCTCAGCCTGCTACCTCCACTTGGATTCCAGACCACTGGCAGCCAGGTCTTTACTCTCTAGACAAGTCTAGAGACTGGATGAGTTTTCTCTTGGTAATATGACCAGCGCAAGAGAAAATATCTAAGGATATAGACATAGAGGATTTCCCAACAAATAGCCCAGCAAGATCACTTTACAGGAATGCTCCCAGCCGATAAGCCCCACCCATGAGCTCAGAGTTTCTGATAAGCTTTCTAGTTCCCCCGCTTTTAAATACCACCAGATAACCAAGTAATTCCTGACATTTGAAGAGAGCCTCCAACAAGAAATATAGAGATCAGAACAAACAGGAAAAGGCACCTAGAAAGAAACAGAGATTATGCAAGAAGAAAATTGGGGGCAGTGGGGAGGTCTCTCAATAATACACCCAGAGAAATAAGAAAAAATGCTGCATTCCTGAAACCAAAGCAAGATGCTATGAAACGGAACATTCAGAGAACAACAAAAAACTCTTGGAAAATAAAAACACAATAGCAGAAATGAAAAACTTATTAGAAAATTTAGAAGATAAAGAAATTTTCTAGAAAATACAATAAAAGAACAGAAGGGAAAAATAGGAGAGGAAAAAAATCAGAAATTTCGAGGACCAGTCCAAGAGGTCCACTCTGAATAATAGAAGAAGGGACAGAGAAATATGGAGGGAAGGAAATTATCAGCAAAATAATTTTTTTTCTTTTTGTGAGGAAGAACAGCCCTGAGCTAACATCTATGCCAATCCTCCTGTTTTTGCTGAGGAAGACCGTCCCCGGGCTAACATCTGTGCCTATCTTCCTCCACTTTATATGGGACACTGCCAAAGCATGGCCTGACAAGTGGTGCCTCAGTGTGCGCCCGGGATCTGAACCCGGGCTGCCAACAGCGGAGCACCAGCACTTAACCACTACGCCACGGGGCCGGCCCCCAGCAAAATAATTTTTTAAAGTTTCCAGGACTAAGTGCCCAGTGTAACAGATAAAACCAGAATCCTACTAAAGCACATCATTGTGAAATATCAATCATGTGACAAAGATTCTGCAATCTTCTAGAGGAGAGGAGGTGATACATTATATACAAAGGATTGAAATCAAAATGACCCCAGGTTTCTCAAGAATAACGCTAGAAGCCAGAAGACCAAGGAAGCAATGCCTTCAAAATTTTGAAGGAAAATTATTTCCAAACTAGAATTTTGTATCAGGACAAATCACCAACTCATGCGAGAGTAGAAAAGATGATACTTTGGACATGAAATTGCTCATAAAAATTTACTTCCCAATCATTTTTCTCAGGAAGCTGCTGGAGGATGTGCTCCATCAAAAGAAAGGAACAAGCTAAAAAGAAGGATGTGAAAAATGGAAGGAGCAACATAGGAGAGCTGCAAAGGAGTGATGGCGAAGAGGATCCCAGGATGCTCTCAGAGCCTTCTGACTCACCTCAGATAGGAGCAGGTCAGAAGGCTTCAGAAAAGACTCCCCGGGAGGAGACTTAGAGCTGAGTTAGTGGTTAGTACAGAGAAAACTAAGGCAGCAAACAAACAAAGGGAGATTATTAGCCCTGTGGAAAACAAAAACTTATTCAAGAAAATAAAGTAATCTTAGCTAACCACATAGCTCGGCGGTGAACTGTGTTTGCATAGTGTCTGCTCTTGGGCAGAACCATTTTGTGTGATGTAATTCACAATCTCTAGGAAGAAATCTCTAGCATCCTGATGAAAAACTCATACTTTAAAAAGAAAAAAAGCAAAAACCTTTGATGTGATTAAGACTTATTCTGGGACACCAGTTCCCTACACAGCCAGCTGACTGTCAGCCCGGAGCTTAGTGGTCTCTAACCAAATATTCTTTCATTTTTGTATTGTTGGGGAATTAAAAATCTCCACAAAACATCAAAAAGAAAGAAAGCAGTTTTATTGTTGAATAAGCATAAACCAGAGTACCATGGCGTGGTTGATATCTGCAAAGACATTTCAAAGATGGAAAGAAATTCTACCTTATTGATACAGCCAGGAGGTTACAATGCTTTTATACTGCTCTTTTTTTGGCATTAAATACGTATATTTGCAAGATGAACAGTAACCTGTCCTCCTGTGAGAAGACTTAAGAGCACCATTTGCTGTACATTTATCATATTTTAGCCTAAATTCACCTTTATCAGAAGGAATAATAAAAATTTTCTTATTTCTATGACAAGCAGATGCCTAGAGGCTAAATTCCCACAGTGACAGGGACATAGGGGCACTGTCTTCCTAGAGGTTTGCATTTCAAAGGGATGGAAAAAAATTTTTCTGGGTTGTAAAGCTGACGAAAGGCTAACAGAAGGAGGTTTAAAAAGTGTGCATATATATATGTTTTTCACTGAGTGGGACCATCCTGCTCAGCACAAATTACAAAATGTTTGGTATTTTGCCCCACCACAAAATATGTGTAATTTCCAACCTCACCTCCCACCCCCCACCCCAAGCATTGTGGCAATAACAAAGGAAATAGAGTGAGGAGGAAGGAGGGAGAGAAGAAAACTGCCCTCAAATATTTTCAAATACCTCCTGGAAGGGATAACACCAAGCTAGGGTGACCAACTCATCTGGATTTGCCCGGGACTTTTCTCTTTTAACGTTCTTGTTTTTAGCGCTGAAAGTCCAGCTTCCCAGAAAACTAATCAGTTCCAGGCAAACTGGGATGGTTGGTCACCCTAACACTCCAACACACACACACACACACACACACACACACACACTTTAATAATCATCCAATTATGTGCATGTGCCACTCAGGGAAAAACAAAAACTTAAAATAAAAAGATAGGCTTTAAAATGGAAGAAATCTGGGTTTGAATCCTGGTTCTGTCCCTTACCAGTTCTGTGACTAAAGCAAACGCCTTGATAGCTTTGACTGGCAGTTCTTTTGTCTGTTCAGTGGACTAAAAGTGATGACTCCTCTCAGGACTGATGTGAGAAGTCAGCACCTAATAAATGACCTCACCTTTTGTGTGAACTCAGGCCTCAGTTCTTCACCGAAGTCGCCATGCCAATTTTCACTTATCTCTTCTTTAGAAAAATTAGTTTATTGTGTCCCAAGTGTTACTGTATCTTTATCCCAACTGGAAAAGGAGCCTTTGTGAGCAAGGACTATGCCATTACAGTTCCTAAGACAGTGTCTGGCAGGTAGAAGGTGTTCATAAGGATTTGTTAATAGCTATATAACTAATATTCTAATATTTTTACCAACCTCTAAGTCAGTTGCACCTTCTCCTGCACCTTCTCTCCATAATGAGAGTCAGGGCTCTCATTATGATGTCATGGTGCCCCTTGTCGCCTTTCCTTGGCTGGATATTTTCTCAGAGTAAGGGACATCACCAGCACATACACAAGTTAACCCCCTTCCTGGGCATACGTGTCCATTGTGGGAGCAGCATGAGGCTGCCCTAATGATATGATTTCAGGACAACTTTATGTTTCCTGAAATATTTCCCCTGTGGGCTCATAACTGGTGCCTCACGGTCTGTTTTCCTTGGGCCGGTGAAATATGAATCTCCAGAGAGAGTGTATTCTGAGGTCTTCTCAGTCATTGTCTCCTTGATGAGAATCTCTTAACTGGATTCAGCCTCGAGAGTAGGTCTTGGAAGGCAGAGGGTGAGCAGACTACAAAGGAAATGGCCCTGGAGGAAGTCAAGTGCACGCATGGTCGTGAGCAGGTTCCACAAGCCCCTGACACAGAAGGTGAAGGCCTCACACTGTCGTGGTGCGGGCCTGTGTCTGCACCGTGTGCACAGGTGTGGTTGGCAGCTGTCCCCAACTAGAAGCTACAATTTAACAGTTCCTGAAGGCAGAGACTCTGATATAGTGCTGAGCACATAGTAGTTGCTTCAAAAAAAATTCTACTTGATATGATGACAATTGTTCTAGAATGACATTCTGTAAAGTATTGATAGAATAGGAGGTTAATTACTTTATAGACTACAATCCCTAGAATTAAATAATATCTCAGTATAGTGTATGGCCCATGTCCTTGAGGGCAGCTCCAACTGATGAATCACTATCCCGTGGCCTGGCTATATTAGTCTTAATTGCCCCAAACAGGGGAATATGTTTGCTGAGTTGAGAGAGGTTGGGCAAATGAGAAGGTTCTGTGGTCCAGGAAAGGAAAGGAGGAGGTAAACTTAGACGAATGAGAGACTGTCCCAGGGTTAAGATAATGCTGCAAAGTTAACAAGTGACTCTTCTGAGACTGTTCCACTCAGCTGATGGGCTGGCCACCGTCTTACCCTTTTTCTCCTCAAAAGTTTCAATTAAAATTTGAAACTATGTTTGTATCAAAGAAATCAATGATAGAGTTGCCAGATAAAATACCACATGCCCAGGTAAATTTGAATTTCACATAAATAACAAATGATTTTTTAGTATAAATATGTTCCAAATATTGCACGGGATTTATACCAAAAAAATTATTCATTATTTATCTAGAATTCCAATTTAACTGGGCTTCCTGTATTTTTATTTGCTAACTCTGGCTAGTCAATGAGGTATAAGATTCATGTCACAGAAATCCACATTACAGCTAACCTCTATGGAAATACCTTTAAGGAGACACAGCCCTTAATTTACACACACACACCCGACCACAAAACGCAGATAACAATTCTTCCTTTAATGTAGTTCATGTTATTTTGACGACCTTCAGGACAAACTCAGATTCACAGTTTCAAGCCCCATTGACTAGTTTTATCTGTATAACAGTTGAGGCCTCATGTGTGATAATGATCTTGGGTTTGGTCTGAAGCATTAGAAGCCATGTCTCTTGAAGTATTTGGCTCGTGCAAGGACATCATTGCAGAAGTCACAGCTCAGGTCCTGGCGGCTTCTGACAAAGCCTGCACCTCCAGTGTAGGCGCAGAGTCCACCTGGAATTTGTGAGACAGGTTAATGCTGACCCCACAGCCCCCTATTGCCTCAGAGTCCTCAGCAGTTAACTTAGATTCTCTTTCCTAATTGCATCTCAGGAGGCAACCGAGGTTTTGGGGAATCTGGTACAATGGACTACATTTGTCCCTATTAACTCCAGGCTGTGAAACCGCTGACCCACATGTTAGACGTACCTCTCAGGTACTGGTCGGGGGTCCAGGTTGGAAACCTCCTCTGGATTTCTTTGATTCTAACAATGAGGACCTCAATCATCCGGGAAACCTGGAATTCGCTGATCTGGGATGTGGGAGCATAAAGGCCAGGGTCCTGGAGGGAGGGAGGCAGAGGAAAAGCCAGGTAAGTCAGGTGGGAGGGTGACAGCTTCATAGGATCAGTGCTGAGTTTTCATTACCCTTCTTTTTGTCTCCTCCTCCTTTGGTGGAACCAATGCCACCTTCAATCTCCCTGGGAATAAGTAGTAAAGCTACAGATTTGGGCAAAGGAAGGGTTGAGCAGACACGTCACTGCTGCTTCAGTGTAATGGCAGGAGGCAGAGTTGGAAGCCAAAGGTGACAGAAGTAGCGTAGTTACAGTCTGATGCCTTCTTCCAATGCTGTAAGCGCAAACCCTCCAAACACGGCAGAATGGGATTTTTCTCTGTACTTGTAATTCCCATTCCAGATAATCTGAATGTCTAAAGGTACTTCTAACTTTTGTACCATTCCATGTAGGGTTCACCATATTTAGGAGAAATATCTGACTCTAGGGAGTTCTTTCTTCATCTCCAAAGGAGATGGACTCATCCTTTTCCCAAGAATGAGATTTTACAAAGGAGGCAGAACAGAGCAGTGGAAATGATGCTGACCCTAACCTCACCAATGTTGTCCTTGGTCTCAGTTCTGCATTTTCCAACTGCCAGGAGACTTTGCAGCAATGACTCTCCTTGTAAATCACTTCCTCACTTGTAAAGGATGGATTACGTGCCCCTCCCCCCCATCTCATCAGATTCCTGAATAGGTCTCCAATTCAAAATAAGACAAATGTATTTGAAAGTACTTTTAAATTGTAAAGTGTCGTACAAAATACTGATGGGAAGCCAATTTGAAGTTCATCGAGGAATACATTTTCCTAAAAGCTTAAAAAATGACTGCAATACTTACAGGCTTCTCAACAACTACAACAATGTGAAACGCAGTAGAAAATAGTGGCCTATTTTCTTCTATGTCATCACTGATTCCCCCAGCACAGAGTTAATTCAGCAGAGGGGTTAGTTAATGACCAGTTCCTTAGAAGTCGCTATCAGACAAAAAGTGAAAGCAGGCAGGATTAATGCAAAAATAAAACTTGATCTTTAGAACTAAGAATCATGCAGAAAGAAGACGAGAGAAAAGGAACGCAATATTTGTTGAGAATCTACCAGCTGCCGAGTACTTTTTCACATTACCTCGTTGAATCTTCACAACAATTCTATGAGGATGGCATTTTACAGGTGAGGAAACCGAGGTCTAGGGAGATTAAATGATGTATCCGAGGTCACACGGTTACAAAATAACAGAGCAAGGATTCAATCTGTGATCCTTCTCCTGCACTACTGCCTTACTGGAAATACAGACTAGGGTATCGTGGATGATATCCTGGAAACACAGCATAATTTACTTTGAGAAGAAATTGTGGCCCCAAATGAAACAGAAATGTTGCTGCTCATGTTGTTCAGGCAGAGCTGTGGCTCTCACGACTGCGGGGAGCACTTTTCACTCTGTGTTCTATGGAGCCGTGCTCCAGGGGTGCCATCACCAACAACAGAGGCAAATGTGAAGGCGTTCTCTTGGAGCTGTGCCATGCAGTGCGGCGGCCACATGTCATAACTGAGGGAAGGTTACCTGCACCACCCTGATTCCATCGCCTGCATTGTCCACGTTGACCTGAACGTTGCCACCATGAGACTCCCTGGACAAGACACCAGCAATCACTGCAGGGTCCACACAGTACTTTTGGCCAACAGTACGCATAATGTGTTGATATCTCAGTAGGTATGGCTTGTCTATTTCAGCCAGCCTTTCAGAAGCACGAACTCCTAAAGCAAACACAGAAGGAAGGTTGTGGCTTGGTGTGACTTATGCTGAAATGGGAGCCCAATAGGAGAGAGAAAATACACTCCGAGGATCTGGACAGGGGTCTAGGACTAAGAAGCCTATGTCTGAAATCCCTAGGGGCCATTCCTAGATCTGAGATTATGATTCTCCTCCTTTGAGCTTGAGTCAGCATTCCCCTGAGGCATCATCTGTGGCTGCCAGCACCCCTTGGGTGGGCTCTCAGGGGCTGCTCTGGCACACGCAAGACCATTCCGTGGGTACGGGCACCATTGGCCCTATCTTAAACATCCCAGAGTTAACTAGTAAAATATGACTTTCCATCAGCTACAACGGGCACTGGATGTGAAATAGAAATTCTCCCAACCCCTTCAAAAAGTTTTCCTGACAGGTTTGTTCACTTTTGCCCTCCTCTCCACCCTAAAGTGACACCCAGGAATCATAGGAGCTTAAACTTTTAGGAAATAAGAAGAATTCTGGGCAAAATGAAAATCAATACTGATTTACCTGGATAGCTTACTTGCCTTCTGAGCATTTTTATGATTTCAAAAGCACCTTCATCCACACATTATATTGACCAGAGTTTATATCAACGCTGTAAAGTAAGTACTATTATCCCCCTTTCAGTGGAGGCTCAGGGGAGCTAAGTGACCTGTTGAAGAACCAGAGCCAGACTCGGACAAGATCTTTGAACTTCACGTCCAGTGCTCTTTCCACCACTCGATAGCGTGGGGCTGTGGGAAGCAGCGGGAACCAAAAGGATATGTTGAGAGGATCAAAACTTGTGGGGAAGAACAGGGAGACATGGGTGTGGAGAATCAAGGGAAGGGACAAAATCTTGTTGAAGCCACCTTTGCCAAAAGGAGTCACCTTCTGACAGAAAGAGGAAGAGGAGGAGGAGAGCAAGGTGGACAATGAGGTTATAACTACCACAGTAGCTCAGGCCTCGAAGTCTTCCAATCCCGCAGGATGCCCCAGGGGTGTCGAGAGTTTGGATGTCTCCATAGCATCCCCAACTGCTGCCTTCAGATGAGTCTACAAATTGAGAAAATTTCCACCTAAGGTGTTGAACTAGAATAGTTCTGATCATCCTTCTGTCCATGAATGAAGTACCATTAGTAAAAATTACCATATGAAAATCAATAACAACAAGAAATTCAGCCTGCAATGGAAACTCTTTTGGAATTTACAGTAGAGTGACCAAGAAATTATCACAGAAACCTTGATACTAAATTCTCACCTGCTATGCTGTGGACCTGAGGAACTGTTGGAGCAGTTATACTCCTTGCAAAACTCTGGGGCTGTCCAGTGCTGTTGGGTGGGTGTCTTGGAATCAAATCAGAGATTACCTATTCCCTGTAAACCAGTCCTCATCGTATAGCTTGTGTGAACTCTCAGCACTTCTCCCTCAAATACTCCTCACTTGTTGGTCTGGAGAGAGATTTATGTTTGCTCTGGAGAAGCAGTAGAAAACCTGGGGCTTCCTGGGGTTTCAACCCAGACCCAAAGTAAAGACACTGCTCGTAAACCAGGATGTGGAGCTGGCTTCCCCTGCTCTCGGGTGCACTTCTAGGTGGGTGCCTAAGACGGCAGGGAGGACACGTAGTGAGGACGGGACCACGCCTCAGTGTGGGGGCTCCCTCTTTCCACTTCCCTCTTTGCCCTTTCCATCTGTCTCTCCTTAACCACTGCTGTCATTCTAGTCACTGGAGCAGAGGAGTGGTTTCACACACTATTGGGATTCCCACAAAAGCCACTGAAGGGAAGAACATCTCCTAGTATTCATAATTCACACCAGAAGGAGGGCGCATGAGCCAGTAGCAAGATATCTACAAAGGGCAGGAAACTGCGCCTTATGAGAATTGTCTCACCATTATAAGCCTGTAAGAACTTCTCATTAGATTACTCTTTTTGATTTATTTTATTCTTTGAATAAAGTAGATTATGTCATCAAATTTTGATGATTTGTAGATCTTTGGAAATATATCTATTGCACATCATCATATGTGTACTGTATGTTTACGTAAACGCATTTTAAGGTTCTGTTTTCTTACCAAGAGCCTCGTGGGGTTGACATCTGAAAATACTAGTATTTTGCAATAAATACTTCTACTTTAAAAACTTTGATGAGTAACAGAAAAGAGAAAATGAGATGACTTGGTCTCTTATGAGTACACTAAGAATTAAACAAGCCAACGTACCCTTTTTTATTTTTTAATCAGTACACTTTTATCTTTATAATTGGTGACAAATACCCTTAATAGTGGTTGGTTGTGTCACTCATTGTTCTCTGCCCTATAGCCTCTCCCTAACCACATTATATGCTCCTCAAAGTTCCTTATATTCCCAAAATTCCTTGTAGGAATTTTTAAATATTTGTTGAATGAATGGGTCAACAAATAAATAACTGACCCCATCTAAGGTCTAGAAATTTTTAGAATTTAGAGCCAGGAAAGAAAATTGCTTCTCTTGAGGAGCTATGCTTCCTCCTTTTATTTATCAAAAAACATGTACTTTCCCTTTTTGCTCCAGCTGCAAGGAACCTCAGGACAGAATCTGAAAATCAAGCATTGCAACTATGTCAACCTCAGTGGTTAGCTTAGTCACAGCTCCTTGAACCCCTTGTTGCTAGTTTTCTACTGAATTACATTCGTCTTACTATGGTAAGCCACCTCAATCCTTCTATGGAAATATATGGTCTATTAATAAATTCAATACATACTTTTGCTGATGGAGTTTTTATAGAGGAACAATGAGGAGTTATCAATAGTATATATTTAAAGTCTGGCCTTAAGCAGAGCTGTTTCAAGCCCACCCTACATCCTGGAGAACTCCTCCCTTTTGTGGGGCATCTGGGAAGAGGCTGCCTTTCAGTGGCTGTTACTAACTCCAGGATTTGTTGAACAGCTTAGAAAAAAATAACATTTTCCATTGCAGTTTTAAGTATTAGAAGTACCATTATCTTCCTATGCTTATCCTTCTCATCTCCAGGGTCATTTGGGATAGATGAAACATACTCACCAGTAAGAGCAAGGAGGCCCAGAAGCAGCCACAGCACAAACATATTGATAATGTGGCTCTACGGCTCCTAAAATGATTTTAAAATAGAAATTAGCTCAAAGATGTGAAAATATCAATAGTCATCATAACAATATGTAATGTTTCTATGGAAAGGTGTGAAAAAAAGAAAAGAACAAGTTTCTCCATGTCTGAACTAAGAAAATTAATAATTTGAATCATAATGAAAAAAGCAAAAGTAGGACATGTGCTCCATTCCATCCTCTCAATTACCTTAAAAATGACAAGACCCTCACTCGGCCCACAGGGACTCACCATACCATCGAGTTACTGGATACTAATTATTTCAAGAAGCCAAGATGCTTTGATTCTCAACATTGAGACACAAAATGACCTGACTCCAGATCTTGCAAAGCAAATTTGTGATGCATGTGCTTTATGTCAATAGCTTTTTCATTATCAAAAGATAATATGAAATGGAGAACTTTGTATTAGTGTTTCTCTTAATTTGGGGTCTTTTTCCTTCAGGTTAGAGGAAAGGTTACACTTTCCTCAGTGCTTTGGAACATATTCTTTGCTTTGGTTTGAGGAAGGAGTTGGAGACATTTCACACTGCTCTGAGCCCCCAGCGTGGGAATCTCAGACCCCCTTGGTCACCTTGAGCCATGTTCCCCAGGCTCCTTCTGTAAAACTCCTGGGCAGGAAAAAACCTGGGCCAGAGCCTGGGAAGATGGAGACACAGGCTGCTGCCACCAGCAAAGTCAAACCCGCATGAAGTCAGCTCATAGGCAGGAGTCCAGGATTGAACTCAAGGTACTCACCATATGGGACAACTGACAACTACTCACCATCAAACACTTGCTCTTGAGCCTGCTCTCATATACTTTCTCTCTTTCTCTTCCCACTCATTCTTTCAGTCACCTTCCACCTGTACAGGGTCCTAGTTCCCCCACTAGCTACCAAACAAATACGGAAATGCCACCCGGAATAGTTTGCAGTTGACCCCAGGGAATGCCAGGAGAGTTGGCTGCCTGCCCCCAAAACGTCCACCTCCCACTGACCCCTCCCACTGCAGGCTGTTCCCATCATCTCCCCTGGTCAGCTGAGCCTGGCTACCTACCATTTTGAGTTACTACCATCATTATAAGTAGGAGTGTGCATATAAATATGGCACTCGGCATTTTCATAATGCTTTTCTCATCTTTTTTGTCTTAAGATTATTCTTATGGGCCGTTCCTTCCAAACACACAGGAAGAGATTACATCTCAATAGGAAGAAGAGGTATGAAGGAAGTCATTTGAATTAAGTCTTCTTAAACAAAGGGGTTGTGTGCCCCTCAGACACAGCCATGCCTTTTGTTTTTCTTCCCTACGACATTGAGATGGTCTACCTGATTTCCCTTAGTTGAGCAGAAAATGTCATGCTCAGTCCTGACACCAGAAAGTCATAGGAACTTGGAGTTTTAGCTGGGTCTGCAGGAACTCTCGGATTCAATCACCCAACAGGATCCATTTATTCAGCACCCACTGAGCCCTCGGCACGGAATGAGAGAGGACACTCCGTCCCAGGAAAAAGAAGGGAGAAAGAGCCCCTTGGGGACAGGAAAAGCCCGTAGTCTCATGGAAGTCTCCCTTTACAGAGGATTCTCACTGGCCTTATGGAAAAGACCGTGAGAAAAAAGCACTGCTTGCCTCCAGATGCTAAACCCAGGGTATTTTACTCTTGCTGCTGCTTTTCCAGAGAACAAAAATACTTCCTCTTGGAAACCCAAGTGGAAGGACTTAGTTTTTATGACAACGTGAAGCTACCTCATTTTCCACGCGTGGAACTAAATATCTGTGTTGAGCAAGTACTTGCACGAAAAGAGTCTGTGTAAATACACGTGCCAACTACTTAGGAACATGGAGTTCCTTTCTGTCATTGTTTTTCAATTACATTAGGAAAGCACAAGAAGTGACAATGGACATAAACACAGCACACGGAAGCAACCCAAACTTTGTGCCCCAACCTTGCAGGTGCCAAAAGGTATTCTATGTTTAGAAGGGACTGTTGAGGCGTCGCTGGAGTGTGCTCAGGGAGCGTCCCTTGGGTACCTATGACTAATCTGTTTATACCGCTGTGCTCCCTGCGCTTGAAACCATTATTAAAGTGTCAGGGCAAGCCAGCACAGTGCTCATGATGCCAAGCACAAAACCCACCACGGCATCCTTCTTCTCCCTTCCTGGAGAGCAAAACAGTGACAAACAGCATGCGTGTGCCAACAAAGTGGGAGCAGCAGGCCTGCCAGGCACACCAGAAACTGGCAACCTGAGCCTCCCTCTGGGCCAGTTCAAGGTCCTAGTGGCCTCCACCTGCCTTCCCTCCACCAAGTCCTTTGTAATTCTCAAGCATTGTTTACATTTGAAAGGCATAATGGACTGTTTCTTTCCCAGTTAAACAATTTTTCTGGAAAAGGTGGAAATACAGGTCTTTGGTCTTTATAGTTCTCTCACCATAGAACTCCCCTTCCTTTTCCATGAATGCTCTCCCAGATTTTCACCATAAACCTTGAACCATAGGCATCCCAGGTCCTTAGGGTAGACTGCTATGTACCAACAGGCCTTAAATTAAAATAATAGCAATGACAGTCACAAATATAAAATGTTTCTGCCACTTGCATCATGTTTTCTTGAGAAAAATCTAATGTTTAAAATATAAAGCTCCTTTTAAATTCACTTTTTGCAGAGTTGCATTTTCCCGTGGCCTGTGAAAATATATTTTTACTGGATTTGGATTATGAGCAATGATTTCCAGCCCGGAAGAGCTCAGAGGTTTGATGGCTTCTCTTCACTCCCTGCAGGCAAATCCTTTCTTTAGAGAGAGACCTGGGAGGGAGTTCCTTAGCTCACTTTGCCCATTTGGTATTCCCAGAGTTGCAAACCCCAGGAAGGCTCCTCTCCTGCTGCTGGGAACTGTCCCATTCTGAATAAAGATCAAATCAAAGAGACCAGGGCCTCTCTGTTTCACCCAAGACTCTTGCAGCTTGTCTATCCTTTGACTCTGTCAAGCTTAAGCTGTTAGAAATGTTGGCCTTGTTCTTTCATACCTTCCAGAGAAAATAGGACTCTATTATAGAACCATCACTTAAGGTGTTTGGGGATAATTTAACATGGGCAAGAGTGAGCATGAGGGTGGGGGAGAGATTACCATTTGGCAAAACACAAACACCTCAGTCCTTTGGCTTTGAATTCACAAAACAGACATCCCATTTGGCCTATTACAGCTTCTGTTAAATGCACACATATTTCTGTTTTTCCATTCTTTGTTTTGCACATGCTCACAAATCCAAAAGTAACTATATACTTGCCTTAAAAAAATGTAAATTTTTTATAAGTATTGTAAAACAGGAAAAAAATCATTCTATCATCCACATAATCTTTTAATTTCATAACTTGAGTTTTCCTTGCAAGGTCCTTCAGTTTTATCTGACTCCAACTTTTCTTATTTACTCAGCAGCAGAGACACAATTACTCTCAATCAATCACTATAGACCAGATTTTTCATCCTAAATAAGCTTGAGCATAAGTTCCACCACTCTTCCACACTCACCTGCCTTCAGTTAGCTGTTGTCCTTAGAGGCAGTCAGCCCACAACACTTTATATAGAGTCCTCGTCATGCTTCCTCTTTTTAAAAGTATTGACTTCATCTTTTTATGAAGAGATTTAGGGCTAAGTTTTACAAATTATAGTAATAATCATAATAATTACCAAGACTTTGAACTTATATAGGGGCTTTCATTCAAGAATGTCCTGGTATTTTGCAAACAGTAACCAATTAGTTCCCTATCACACCCCAGAGGACAAATCCTAATTGTAGGTTCACTTTGACACTTTTAGGTCCAACGTTTGCTTTTATTTGCACCAGTTTCTGGGACTAGGGCCAGGTAAGAAAGAAAGGAAGAAAGGAAGGAAGAAGGAGAGGAGGGAAGAAGGAAAGAGAGAGGGAGGGAGGAAGAAAGAGAGAAAGGAAGGAAGGGAGGGAGGGAGGGAAAGAAGGAAGGGAAAGAGAGAGGGAGGGAGGAAGAAAGAGAGGAAGGAAGGAAGAAAGGAAGGAAGGAAGGAAGGGAGG